ACTGGCCACCAACTGGATTTAACTCCTTTTAGATTAAAAGCACATACAGAAAATAAACCGTCATATTTTCTATGGTGTAAATTGTGTGTCTACTTCAGGGGGTTAACTGTGGTACTCTATCACAGTCCTGCAGAGAGACAACAATGAACAACAGGAGGAAACTCAGAGACATTTCAAGAATAAAAGAGGAAAAAAGTATAAGCTCTTACACAGAAATATCATGAAACCTCTCTTCTCCATTTAATTCTAGCAATGTTGCCATTCCATGGGCCAGGCTTTTTTTTTTTTTTGGACCAGACAGGTGGTTTTTTCTACTTCAGCATCACCATTTTTCAAACTCCAGGCCACTCCTGACACTGAAGTTATTTCTCATTTAATCTCACTACTGTGAACTGTAAAATGTATAAGCCATCTGAAATCATGTGCTCCAGTCAGACTGGCCTCCTGAATCTGAGAGTTTATAAGAAGGCAGAGTAGTTACATTTTCTTTGTTGGATTGTTTTCATCATTTCAAACTGTAAATTCTCAACAACATATCAAATATTCCGGAGTTATTAAGGAAAGAGTCTTTTATGGTGAACCAGTGTTTAGGAGTTTTCCTGTATTCTACAGCTCTGTAATCTCTCTTATTTTATCCTTTAAATAAAAAAGCAATAGAAAGTAAGAAAGTAGAATAGTGTACCAGGTTAAATTGAAGTCCTATCTAGCCTGGTACCCTGCTCTCAATAGTAGCCATATATGATTATCTAGAGATGATTATAACAGCAAATGAAAATAATACTTCCCCGTAACACTCACAAACTCCAATCATTTTCAAGTCGGGGACATACTGATCTAGATAGGGTTCCTGTGTACACAGTAACGCTCAATATTTTTTTCCTTTGAACTTAGCCAGTCCTTCCTTGAGCAGCAAGTAAACTTTAAGCATCCACATTATACTTGGTAAGAGTCCTCTTTTGAACCTGTTGTCATCAGGTTTATTGGATTTGCCTTTCCACCTTGTGATAAAGAGAATGAAATATCAGTTGAGCCCCTGCATGCCACTAAGGAGTCTATAAATCTGTATTATTTCCCCTCCCCTGCATCAAGTATGTCTTTTCCAGACTGATGACTGCTAACTTTGTTGTTCCTCATGCAGAAGCCATTTCATACTCTTGATGGTCTTTGTTGCCCGTTTGTTGTTTTCCAGATCTCGATCCAGATCAAAATGATCGAGTGGTTCGTTTAGAAGCTTTCTGCAAACCTTCAATGCCATTACTTGCATTTGCTTTCATCAATCACGTATACATACTGTGAAACAATAATTTAGAAAACCCAGAAGCTGTGTCGCTTTGATGACAGTCTAGAAAATAATTCATTTAAATGACACCACAAGTGATTCAAGATTTAATGAGACAGGCAACTGGATTGCAAGATTTTTGATCTGCAAGGATGAACAGTTGATTACCGGTCTATCATAAGGGCCATGAGAGCATCCCCCGCTCCTGGAGGTCTCACTGCTGGGGCTCAGAGACACCACAGCAATAGCAGAGCCAAGGGCTGCCCCTTCCTGGCTGAGTCCTCCCATTCCATGGTTGGGGGTGCACAGAGGAGGGTCTTGCCAGCCAGGGTTTGTCCCACCACCCTGCGGGAACACCCACCAATCCCAGCACTCCAAACCTAAAAGTAAAATAAATAAACAAGGGGTTAAGTAGGTGGCTGCCCTGAGAGCAAGATGGGGAGAGAAAGGAAGGGAAAAGGAGCCAGCTGGAGGTGACGGGAGGGATTTGCCTCAAAGGAAAATTGTTTCCATCCCATGGAAAAAAAAAGGTTTGAATTAAGCACTAATGGATCATAGAGAGGGTGGATGGAAAACATAATTATGTATACAAAAATAAGCTGGGCTAAAAATTTAAGTTAGATGGTAATATTTGTTTGTCTCTGTTCATTTTTTCCCTCAGCTTTTGCAGAGTCAACAACAGCCAATGACTTCATATAGAGTGCATTATACTTACAAAAGAGATTGTATACAGAAACCGCATGTAGCACACAGATTTACTAATCGATTGTGGGACTGCAGTGACTGGCCAGAAGAGCAGACCATGCTTGGAAATGGTTTAGCAGACAGAAATCCAACCACTGTTGTTTAAATTTTCGGCTTACACATGTGCTTCTGTTGTTTGCTTATTTAAAGCCTGTGTCAGTACTCTTCTGGAAAACATTACCTTTGTCTGGGCCTAGAGCAAGGTTTTGGAAGAAATTCATACTTGTCCTTAAATTAGTTTTAGGGATAGTTCTCAGAAGGGATAGGAGATGATGGGGTCCATCCTCACCTGAACTTTATAGCCTCCTGACTCTTTCTAAGTATCAATTCCCTGCTGTGCTGAGCATGGTGGCAGACTGCTGGCATCAAGCCTGGCACTGCCAGGGACGTGCAGGAGAGCAGTCTGCGTGCCGCAACAACCCGGGCTGGGGGTGGGGAGGGCGCCCCACCAGAAAAAAAGTGCTAGAGCTGTTGACGTGCTGTATGTCTTCAATATACAATAGGAAAAGTTACTTTGTTGGCTTTGCCAGGGTCTTTTATCATCCATGTTGCTGATTTAAAACATGGAAATTACTGTTAAGAAAAAAACAGATAAAATTTTAAAAGTAAGGGTCCACACTCCTGCTCCAAAAAAAAAAAACCAACAAAAAACCAAAACTTCCTTGCCAACTTCATTTTGGATCTGATGTTGCTTAAGTGCCTGCAGTTGAGCAGTGCCCAGTATTGCCCCTGCCCACACAATTCTCTCCCAAGAAAGGAATCAATTTTAAAGGCTTGGCACCAGCATCGTGTTCTCATCATCTTCCTTTAACCAAAAAGCATGAGCACCACACAGCTCCTTGCAAGAACGGACACAAAACCAAACTTCAGGCTGCAGCTCAACAATGAGAAAAGGAAAGAACTTCCCCATAGCACCGTGGAAAGGTTGCTCATTCACAAAGCTCTAGGTGTACGTTCCTGTCTGCATTCCCTGACGTCACACTTCAGGCGTTTGGCAGCTTTCCGGTAGCCACACTGAGTGTTTTGGATGACACGCTGCAGAGCTTGACTCTTCCTGTGCATTCTTTATGGAGAATTGGCACATGAAATGAAGTTCTGCAATTTATTGCCTTGATCAGCCAGTTTTGCTTCTACACAGTCTGATCTGTGCTAGATCGATGTAGAGGTGCAAATATTAAAACCTGTAAAACACTTAAGATCATACGTAGACATAAAGAGCAGAGGGAAAAAAATCAAGTTTATCCAGAGCACAAAATTCACAAGGAAAAACCCACAGGAATGAAAAATTGGCCCTGCTTTATAAAGTGATGGAATAATGCTGAGGTGCAAGCCTGTCAGTTACTACATTATATGATTCAGGCCTCCAAGTTGGTGATATCAGGATAATATTAATTTTGCTCGAAATTTAATAAAAAACAAAGTAGTTTAATGAAGAAATGGTAACTCATAAAAATTAAGAGCAAAGACAACATTCTATAAAACCAAACTTTCCTAAAAATATGCAGAAAAGACATGCAAATAAGAAGCAATGATGGATTGTTGGATAATCGGAATACCTTTTCATTTCCTAATGTGAAAGAGAATCTTTAAAACAAACAGACTAGAATGCAATTAAGGAGCATCAATGTGAATGATGTGGCTCCCTTTTTGTTTCACTGCCCATTAAATCAAGCTTAGTACTGCAAGCTGAAACAAGAGAGAATAGTGGCATAAAAAGGACAAACTGGGAATGGACGACTCATCAATGAGAAGTAGATTCCACCACGCTGTTGGCAAATATAGCATGCTTTTGTTAAATTAAGATTAATTCCTGGTTTCCTTTTTGTGCTTTTTCTTCACCCTTCTATTCTGTCTGTAGGGCATGGTTTGTTTTTTCTGACAGTTTGAAATTTCTGAGCTACTGCAATGTAGTGCCAACACACACTGTGCACAGTAAGTGAAGAAGAAACAATCTGGCTGTTGTTTCTTGCTTTGCAAATAGCAATTTGCTTCTCATGACTGTATTTTAGATCCTGGTACCAGGGGCCTGATTTTAGAAAGCTAAATGTTTCTGTCCCACTTTTATGTGTCCATTTAAGATGGTTATTCTGACACAAAATTAAAATTGGCATCCAGTTAAAATAACAAACTATGCAAATGTCCGGAATATTTTGCAATACAACTTCAGTAATTACACAAGCAAATTAGAGTTAAAGCAGTTGTTGTTTCTACTTATTACTGGCCTTGGTTTTCTGAGGAATCAGGCTTCTAGTATTGAATGGGTTCATCGAGGTGAACAGAGCATTAGCAGTTCATTCAACTAAATTTAAATCAAGAAGAAAATTAAAGGCATTTTTTTATAAATTGTACTTCATTATTATCTAGCATTAAAATAATAATACAACAAATATACTTTATTTTTAACACAGATTAAGCAACAAAACTAACAGATTTGCTACTACTACTTTACTCTATTTAGACATCCACTGGCTATGGTTAAAATGAAGCCAAATTTCCAACAACAAATTTCAGATCTTTTGCCAAATAGTAATGATATCATGTCAAGAAATTCCTAGAACAAATAGTGCTATAAATCATATGCCATGTGCAATTAACTATACATTTCATTTAGATTTAATAGGCTATTTACTGCATGATCTTCTTATGTCATAAATTATCATAGCTCTACTGAAGTCAGTGGAGCCTGTTTATACCAGCTGAATCTCTTCTCCTTACTGTTGGATGATTAATGTTGCTTTTCAATATTCAGTAGAAAAATATGTTGTGATATTGAGAGACATCACAAAGAGAACAGACAAATAAACATTAGAACTGCGTTGGGACTTTCCAAGAGATGCTGAAAGGCAACATTTGGGAAGAAAAATAAAAGCACAAATGTCATCATAATTGGTTTACAAGATGTTCTGATTACTTTATTTGAAAATTTTTAAATTAACTCCCAGGGGAAAAAGGAGAGAGGGGAAAAAAGTAGTATTGAAAATGGGTCCTGCTTAAAAGTAGCCATCAATCACACATGTGAGGTAAGATGACTAATTGCCTAGTCTAGAGATTACTGAAGATCAGTGATTCTGCAGTAACGACCATTCTTAAACACTGGATTACGTAAAATAATCCAGAATCATCCAGTTTAATTAGTTGTACTTTTGTCTCTTCAAGAATGTGACAACTTAGTTTGTATATGGTCTATCTAATGAAGAACCTTGCTCAGTGTCATTTTACCCACTGAGGTAACGTTCTTTTTCTTCTATTCTAATAGCCAGCTTCACTGTGGTTATATTTCTGAAAAAGACTGAAGACATAATGACCTTTACAAAATAATTAAATGTGATAATTCTGGATTATCTCTTAATTAAACCACAGCTTTGAAACACCCTTTGTGATTCTATCAACAACTGATTGCAGATAATCTTGAGATAAAACAATTAATCTTCTTTCCTTTTGATTACTTTCCTTGATCCCTTATCTGAAAGCAGTTATTAACTTTATCTGCCTTCATTATCATCTGTCTGTTTGAGTATTTGGACTTAGTTTTATTTATAGGTGTATTCTCATGTTTTCAATGGATTTTGCCACCAAAATTCAGGGGAAGGGGTTGGGCACCCTTTCACTCTGTTTCTGCCATTCACTAAGGGTTTTCACACAAGTAGCGACCCCACATCAGCCACGTGGTGTTTTTCTTGTGTTAAACTCCTAGGTTCCTGAGAACAGTCATATTTTGATGTCTCCATTTTAAAGATCTGCTACATAGATCCAGTAGTCTCAGTATCCAGTGTGATAATATCCAAATAGCTACTGTTGAGTAGCCAGAAGAGTAGTAGTGGGTTTTGGAAAGGACAGAACATCTTAAGGAAAATTGGAGCCGAAGTGAAATTTAATTTCACAAGATTATTTTAATTGCCCTACTTAATTAATGGAAAACCACACAGGATGACTTAAAACCCCCAGAGATCAATATCAGCCCTATTACATTATATATGACCTCACTTTGGGAAACTGAGCATCTGCCATTGAATTGGCCTTGCTGGATGTAAAGGTTTTCGTAATAGTTTAGAAAAACAAGACCTACATAAGGCCTTTTCTGAAGAGGCTTACACATTTATTAGTGCTGTATTTCTCTTTCATCCCTATTAATCTCTGTGAGGGTTTTTCATAAAGGCCAACATTATCCTAATAAGGCTAATCTCTCCCTCTGTATTCAATTCGAAAAGGCAGAGGGTCGTTTAGAAGAGCTACGTCAGGTCTATCTTTCCCAATTAAATTGTAGCAAGAGTTTAGGGAGTTTTATATCATCCTTTGTGAATATCCTTCTCCAAAATTTTCCCATGTAAAAATAACTGTAACAATTTCAGGCTGTTTCCTGTAAACTACAAAATAATTACAACTGCCATTTGTCTTCCTTTTCATACATTTCATGTTATTCATAAACATATTAACAGCAAAACAGCAGTTGATTATTAACAGACGTGTTGCAGAGCCAAATAAAAAGTTTTATAATGAGTTGGAATGTACTGATTTATGACAAAACAAGATCAAGACTAGTAAAGAGGAAGAGATAGAAATTACAGCTCTATCAGCAGCCATAGGTAGAAAGTGGTTGTGTTAGAACTTTTCATTAAAACATAGTTGTCAAATTGGC